TAAGTGAATGTTCCTTTAAGGATGCTGGGACAAAAAATAGATTGATGGCATTCTTTTGTTCAAATTTCTCTTCCCGGTCAAATAAAAGGCCAGAACATTATTTATCAATGGTTGGTTTCTCTTAAGGGAAGCTAAAATTGAGTGGTGTCATTTTTATAAATAGTTAGGGGTAGAATGAGCATTTTGATTGGAGTGTGATGATTATTTGGCATTCTCTTAGCAAATATATACAAGAACATTACCAACTTATGCGGTGAGTAGACATGGGCATTGGGCAGGTGGCACAAGCCATAAGTCCGCTCAGAACGAGCGAATTTGACTATGAAAAATTAGAAACTTAACTAACTTGGCTCGACTCGTGCACTCTTCGACTTAGTCAAAGCTTGAATGAACCCGACCCACGCCAAGCCCGACCCGCCCATTGATTCAATCTTATAGGCATGGTTCACGATTGCAAGCTTTCAAGACGGTTAATTTCCTTCTCCTTTCACTTCTATATCAAGTCATGAATTTTGGTTTTTACATTAATACTAACTAAGTCTTTCATATCTCTTAAAAATTATCACTTTTTTATTTTTTTTAAAAAGTAATACAATTATTATGTATATATAAGATGCAAATATGTGAAAATTGTAATCTCGGAGTTAAATATGTAATTAAATAGAAATTGATAAATGATATATATGTAAATATGTTTTTGTGATATTTTCCCGACTCATTTGTATCATATATAGAGATGTTCTCAATCTAGAATCATACTTATTCCGTGTGTACACACTTGCTATTAAATTCAACCAAACGCATAAGCAAAAGCTAATACACACTTGCTATTAAATTCAACCAAACGCATAAGAAAAAGCTAACCCCGATCGGCCCAATGCCCGGGTCTAATCCACATGGCAACACGTCGAAAAGGATCTAGCGGCGGATCGGACGGCTATGATCGTTGTCAATCGGATGGATGGGATGGATGTTTTGCTTTTTTTCTAGAGACTTCCATCATGCTTCCTTGTGTGTGAAAATCGCATTTGAGCATTTTGCAAACAAGAGCTACAACATTGACAAATGGCAAATTCAATTTCAACTTAATTGTTCTACCATTTTTTTAAACTAATAACTTCTTTACACAAAGTTTAAATGTTAAATATTTTTTGTTACACATGAAAATAATTTTAAGCTAATTGAATAATGAATATGATCAAAACCTATAATATAAAATAATGTAAGTTCATATATTAATTTATATGGTATTAATAAATCATTAGTGAAAAATTCAAGCATCCAAATAAAATTAATTTCAACGCCACATTAATTAGTGCTTAAATTTATTGGACATTTGTAGAAAATAAAATAAAGAATCTCAAAGTACTCAATTAGACCACTCAATTTACTTATAAAAAATTATTTAAATTAACTCCACATATATCGCGTATTCAGATCTGTTGGTCGGACATTCGCTTATCAGTTGTGAGTCCCCTCTGGTCTAGGGTTCAATTCCTCCTGTGGGAGTGTGGTACTCGAATTGTTAGGCGTATTGGGAATGATCAGGGCTCGTATAATAGTCTTCGGCCATTCTTAAGAACTTCGTGGCTCATCTATATATGATAAATTATTTTTTTTAAAACGCTTAAGAAAATTAGAATACTTGGAAATATATCATCATCATTAATATAACAAATGCCTTTAATATAACAATTGATTGTACACGATTAAGGAATGAACATAATTAATATGATTTAAAAAATCTTTCTATTACCATGAAAATAACTTAATAATATTCAAATTTGCATGAAGTTTTATTAATAATATCCCAATATACACGCGTATATATTTATATTTAAGAAAATGGTGGAGTTCTTAAGATATTTTAATTTCCTCCCCAAGCAACTAGGGCTGTCAAAATCGAACACGAACTAAGATGTGTTCGTTCGTGTTCGACTCGTTTTGGCTCGAAATACTACTCATCAAGTGTATATATATATATATATATTAAATAGTATTTTAAAAAAATCTAATAACTACCAGGCTACAAAGATTTATAACCAATTAAAATATTGATTAAGAAAATAGAATAAATATTATTAAATTATATTCAAATGATATTTTAATAAAAATAATAATTTTAAAATCTTGCTCAAATTCTTATTGTCTTATGGTTACATGATTAGAGTTGTTAAATGGATTTTTTGTTCGTGAACAACTCATTTTCATACTTTTTAAGCTCGAAATATAAACGAATCGAACACTAGCGAGCATTTAAACCCCTATTAAATTAGATTCAAATGATGTTTTAATATAAATAATAATTTTTAAATCTTGCTCAAACTCTTATTGTCTTATAGCTACATGATTAGAGTTGTTAAAAGGACTCTTTGTTCGTGAACAACTCGTTTTCATACTTTTTGAGCTCGAAATATAAACGAGTCGAACACTAATAGCATTGAAACCCCTGCAAGCAACTCGAAGTAGGCAATTTTGAGATGTTCAGAGACTTTGCTGCAAAATTGTGAAAAAGAAAAAAAAGAATGGTAATAAAAATCTAGTTCACTAACCATGGTCCAAATGAAAAGTTAGCTAACTGTAGTTAGGGGGTAGGTGGAAGTGTATTTTTATTGGTTCGTTTTGGGTGCTGCCGTTCTACGGCGGCAGAGCAATCGGCGAAGAGGGAGTTGCGGTTGGCGTTTTCGCTGACCAGATCTTGGACTTAGGTGAGTGTATAGAACTGATTCCTTGGACTTATGGATGGATCTTTCATTTATTGGGATCTTATTTCATTTTTGCGGTTTTGCGTCGATTAAGAGTGGACGACGAGTCATGTGATTTGTTTTGCTAATTTTAGTTTAATTTTTACCCTGTTTTAGCGATTCAATGGTCTTGAGTGTTTTCATTTTGATGTGGGTAGTTCGATGGCTTGAATGCTGAAAATGATGGGGAGGTAGGTATTTTCGAGCGGATTTTCGGATGTCAAATATACCTAATGGTTCTATTTTGTGAAAAAAAAATAGGATTATGTGTATGCTGTGTATCTATCTATAGGTTGCGATGCTATTTCTTAAAGATCTAGATAAATACACTGTAAGCTCCTCTAGAACTCTAGAACCTTCCGATTATTCATCCTCTTTTTATTCTGCATATTTATAAAATCATTTGTATAGATTCTATCTAATTTTTATTATTTTAGCGTGCATATCCTTTTATTTTTCGTAATATTGATTTTATCATGATTCTCGCGGTGCTTCCTTAAAAGCATCTCAATACTCCTGTAGCAACAAATCTTGAGATGTGAACAAAAGATTAGCATTATGGGGGAGTGAGGACAATGAACTTGTGCGCTCTCTCCATTTATCTTGGGTTCTTTTTTTTTTTTTTTTGAGATTATTTCGCTTCGTGATTACATTCCAATTATTTGATTCTTCATATTATGTTTATATATTATTTAGGGGCTGTCTGGTAATGGACTTATGCCGGATTTATGCAGGATTTATGCCGAATCCTGTCCGACAGTCATTTTGCGCAAAATATATTCTGCGATTTCGTAAAACCGAATTCGGTGGATTTAACTTTGTGGGATTTACAGCCGAATTCGGCTTTACGAAATATATTTACAGCCGAATTAAATTTATGCTTTTAATCTTCATTTTTTTATTTTGGTTTTACGTAAATCCTACGAATCGGTGGATTTAACTTTGTGGGGCTTCGGATTTATTTCGTGGGCTTTCGATTGTCTTCACTGGCCATGACCACTTCCTAAATCCTCGCAGAAATTGCCAAACAGTTCTGTCGGATTTACAGGATTTATTAAATCTGTTGCGACACAAATTTCCTGCTTTAACCGATTTAGGATTTAATAAATCTGGATTTACAGGATTTAGTAAATCTGGATTTACGGGTTTTACGAAATCATAATAGCTTAAATCGGATCTGTTGCGAGACAGCCGCTTAAAAGTTAGGACTAGCTCTTTTAGATCTACAGGATGTTATGCTGATTGGTAAATAACTAGTGAACCAACTAAAAGTGTGTAAGCTTCTTGATTTTATCTTGTTCCTTTTTGCCTATTCATTTTTGCATGAGATCAACGCTGCGTTCTGAATTGTATCTCAGTATTAACGGCATCTAGTACTACGATATGAGTAATCCAAAGAATTATCATTGCGAGCATAACGGAAAGTTTGTTACAAATATGTTGGATTGTATGGCAATTATTGCAGATTTTTCTTCATTTAGATGATTTCAGGCCATTAGGAGCTGCCAATTATTTGATTATTTTAAAAATGTTTTCATATGTTGTTTTAAGCTTTTCTTTCTTAGTGGAATGCTCGATTGTAAAAGAAACAATAGTTAATGCTTTTTTTTTCCATTTTTTTGCATTCATCTAGCACAGTTTTCACTTTATAGTAGGATGTAACTATATATTGATAGTTATTACAGTGTCTTCCTGGTTGTACATTTAAAGATGTTATTTTTACTTGTTGATCAGATGTTTGCTTTCATTTTTTATGTGTATATAGATTAGTAATACATGTTCTGTTATTCTAATTAGCACAATAATTTATATCCCTTCTCTTACCAAGTGGTAATTCGAGAAATGTGTATGTTGTTATTTTTTTCTTTTGGATATACAAATGCTGTATTGCTCAACCTTATTTGATTTCCTGTTAACTTTATTGTAATAATTTATGCTTTTAATCTTCATTTTTTATTTTGGTTAAAATTTTGTTTGCATCAGTTTCACTTCATCTTTTTACATATTTACAGGTTTTTCTTGTTTTTGGCCTGTTATCGGTTAAGTTGGCTTCGGAAAATATAGTAAATCTTGACCACCTCCCTTCCTCCTCACACTGATGCATCATTCCCATACAGCATAGCTCCTACATGATCGATTGCATACAA